AGGAGGCCCGGCGTGGAGGAGGCCCTGGGATGGTCAGGGCCGGAGGGCAGCCGTGGGGGCGGGGAGGAGGCTCTGGAGGAGGATGGAGGTTCTGGAGGGCGGGAGGGCGTCCTGGAGGGGAGGAGGGCGGGGTGGGGTGATGAGGGCCGTCCAGGGAAACAGAAACACCTGCTCCCTGGCTGGCTTGTGTAGGCTGGAGGCCTCATCCAAGATGGAAAGTGGAGGAGACAAAAACACCCCAGTGGGAAGGAGTCAGGGTGCTGTGGCCCTTTGGTCCCCAGGTGGCCAGGAAATTGTCTTGACTGCAAGAAAGTGGCTGGCTGTCTTCCTTGGGGGACGGTGGTGAGAGGGTAACAAGCATTAGGGCTGCAGGTTTTGATGATTTAACTGGAATCCTTCCGCCGTTTGAGTGGTTTAGCCATCCTCCAAGCATGGGCCAGTGCAGCCAGCAGGCAGGTGCAGCAGGGCCAGATTGGGGGGGGGTGGGCCCTGAAGAGGGTGTGGAGAGGAGCTTGAGGGGTGCTGCTCAGGCTGTGACCTGGAGACGCCCCTACCCGTCATGCTCCTCTGATCTTGGTAAGGCTTACTCAGCCTGCTGCCTCCCTCCTCTGCTTTTAGGGCTTTTTGACCCTAAAATGAGCTCCATGTGAGAGGAAGACACCCATGACTTCAGGGTTGTGCTGGGTAACGGGTTGAGAGAGTGGTTGATGTGACAGTGTTGATCATTTTTTTCACTTTGCCCTCAGCGTGAAGCAGCCTGTTGTACAGAGTGCTGAGCTGAGGGACACTCCGAGGGACGTTGTCGACCTGTCCCCTCGGTAGAGGGTTCACCTTGGTCAAGTCCTAATACATCTTTGAGCCTTCGTTTCTGTCAATGGGGAAAGGCCTTGAAGGTCATTCATGCAGTTGTATACCCAGAGCTGGTGTACCTGCCACAGGGCTACCCAGAGCCCAGTGACAGGGAGCTTGTCACGTTCCCAGATGGCTGGGGTAGTCTCTCTAGACAGCCCCTCTAGAAAATTATTTACGTTGAACCGACATCTGTTTCCCTACAACGTGCGCTTCTTGGAGCTGCACGGAAGAAAATGTTCGCTGCTGCTTCCACAAATATTTGAGGACCGCGGGCACGTTTCCTTCCTCCACGTACTCCACAAGGCTTCCTTTCTTCAAGCAAAAGTCGCCTCGTTCTTCCAGACAGGGAGGCCGGATGGGGTAGTGGAAAGAAGGCCGGCTGGAGCCAGGCACGTCTGCTTGCAGCTCCCAGCCCCACACACACCAACACCCCACGCTCTGGGAAACAGTTGGACGGCCAGGCGACTGTGAGGATGAGGGAGATGGTGGGGGAAGGCCTGGACTCAAGGAAGGAGCTGCTGTGCCTCGTTACCGGGCTGCGGTTCACTGAGCTCATCTTCTCTGCACACGTTCCTGCTTGTCCATGTGTGGGCACATCTGCTCTGCAGACAGAATAAACCACGTTCTGTGAGGTCTACCCAGCAGACTGAGCAGGATGAGCTGGTTCTGGGTGCCTCTCTATAGTCCACGGTCACACTGGCTCGCTGGGCTTGTGAACTAAAGCCACGTTTCTCCTGTTCTGAGCTCATTTAGTTTTTACCTGAGCCTATGATGATGGTTCTTGAACACAGCAGCCCCAGTTCTGTCCTCCTCTCTCTATAAATAGCCTGTATTTGTCATGTTACGGTTCCTCAACTAGGGCTAGAAATAGTTGATTAGAGAACCCATGGTGCCAGCCCTGCTGACCCCAGGCTGCTGTGTGCACCAGCGAGGTCACAAATGCAGAGCTTTCTACACAATGCTTCGCAAAAACTGAAGCCTTCGAGGGTGGGGAGCTGTGCTGCAGTTGGAGAATGGCCAGCACTGCTGGTGGAGGGAGCCCTGCTGCATGGGGACCCTTGGGGATCACATCTGATGCAGGAACCCAAGGGTGGCTGAGAGCAGGCAGAGGTGCCTTTGAATGGATGTTTGGCTGTGTGTCTGCTGGGGGCTGGAGTGTTGTAGACCTAGACCCTAGAGGCAGGGTCTCCCCTCTAGAAGGAAATGGTCCTCTCTAGAAGCTGCATTAAAGCAGGGCACGGTGGCTCACGCCTATAATCCCAGCACTTTGGGAGGCAGAGGTGAGAGGATTACCTGAGCCCATAGATTTCAGACCAGCCTGGGCAACATGGCGAGACCTTGTCTCTACAATAAATCAAAAAATTAGCCGGGTGTGGTGGTGTGTGCCTATAGTTCAGGCTACTTGGAAAGCTGAGGTGGAATTGCCTAACCCCAGCAGGTCGAGCCTGGGGTGGCCATGAGTGTGCCACAGCACTCCAGCCTGGTCAACAGAGCGAGACTCTGACTCAAAAAAGAAAAAAAGAGTTGCATTAATGTCTTGGTTCTGAGGCACCTGGTCAGTGTCTCCTCTCTCAGCTTCCAACAGCAGCTTCCCAGTTCTGGCCATGTTGGTCTCTGCCGGCTGACCTCTGGGTCTGCCCGACTCCTTTCCCCCGTGCGGGAGGTTTTTCCAAATGCCTGCTCCATCTCGCCATGTTCTGGATTCCATGCCCCTCTCAACCTCAGTCCCTCCTCTGAGAAGTCTCTCCTAAGCACACCGTCTGTCCGAGGAAGGGTTTCTCCTGCATACCAGACCTGAAATTCTGATGACTTCCAGAGCTCTCCTGGCTCTCCCCCTTCCCCAGGGCCTGGGATTCCTCCTGCAGTCTACCCACTGGCTCTGCATGGACTGACATGCGCCATGGCCTGCAGAATAGTGCCCTTTGTGGGGTACTCAGCCCATTCAAGAGAACTTGCCTTGATCTCGGACACTGGTGCTTCTGGCCTGGTGAGAATGAAAGTGTGGACCTGTCTGTAGGACTCAGAGGTTCCCTTGGTGATACAGATGAAAAATACATAACACCAAGGCTGTTGTTACTGTTGTCATTAAAATAGGAAAGCCTTTACTCTTAAAGACATATTTACACTTTGCAAAGTAGTTAATTTAGTCTTTGAAAGGTGGTGGTGGTTAGTTATAATAGGTAATCCTTGACTTGTAAAGGGACTCGTTTAAATTTTATTAAGTAACCAATTAAGGCCATGCCGGGTTTGGATCCATCTGTGGCTTCTCGTTTTCTTTAGGACGAATTCCAAGTTCGGTGCAATGGATGCTCCTTCTAGCCTAATTTCTCGCCTGTGGTGCCTGGGCTCCCAGGACTGCTCTCCCCAGCTGTGCGGCCCTGAGCCTCTGCTTGGCGATTCCGTCCCCGCCCCTCCGGCTGGAATGTTCTTTGTCTCTCTGGTAAATGTCTATTCATCATTCAAGACCACCCTTCCCCCTTCTCCTTAATTACTTCCTCCCCTGTGCCCCTCAAATTCTTGTACTGATTCAAACAGTGTTTATTAGGGGCCTGCTTTGTGGCCGACCCCATGGCGGGCTCCAGGGACACAAAAGGTGGGTCATACTTGAGCTCAGCCTTGGGGAGCCCCACATGTGGGGGAAGAGGGTCATCTGTCACCAGCACTGCTAGGAAATTAAAAGGAAAATTGAAAGCGTCATCTGGTGGCTGTCCCCCCTCCAGATGGCAGGGGCTGTGTGTTAGGTCAGGGGCTGTTTCTCATTCACTGGGGACCCGGCTCCTGGTGCCCTCGTGCGTGCTTTCACTGGGCGGCCGGCCCTCCGTGGAGGGGCACCCTCTGTTGCACATTCATTCTGATGACACGCTCCAGGTGGCTTCTCCAGGCCTGGGGGCGTCCCCAGCCACCTGGTGAGCTGCCCGCGGGCCTTTGGGGCCACGGAGTTTCTGTGGCGCTGGCACGAAGGCCTGCAGCGCCCCTCTGGACAGAGCCGGTATGGCTGGCCCGCCTGCCCACCTTTGCGGTCCCCAAATATCGGCTACAGCCGGCGGTGGACAGGGACATTGGGACACGCCGCCCTAACATGGGCACCACGGACGGCTCTTAAAGGACTACGGGTTGCAGAACATTTCTTCCCCTGTCCGGTGCCCCGGGCCCTTGCACTGTGATCCCATCTGGCACCAGTGTGGGGGCGCCTGCTCTCCTGGGCATGGGGAACGGTGGCAGGGGCCTGGCTCGTGGCCACGTTGCGTTGCCCCCAAGGAGAGGTGCCTACTGCGCGGGGCTTGGGCCGGAGGGCGGGAATCGGCGACTTTGCCCACTCCGCAGCGGCCGTGCCGAGAACACGCCAGCTGGCAGGGCAGTAGATGCCGGGCGGTGGGTGCCGTGGAGCGCGTCGTGCCCCGGTCAGCCCGGGATGAGGGACCTGGGGGTGCTGGGCATGCTGGCTCGCGGCTTCAGGCTGG